AATGAAATATAAGCTAATTTTTTTAGGTGTTGAACTAACTATCCAGTGAGCTAGAGATTTGAAACCGAAAACATAGTTGAGAACTGGAACCGCAGTAAATTGGGTATTACTAGCTGTGTTTCTGTTGTTTTTAATTTTTTCTGCGTGGAACCCTAATTCTTTTTCTAGAACTATATTAGCCTTAGTTATTCTTTATAACACCAGCTCTCTGCCAGTGAAAGTCCCATCAAAATTGGTCCTGCCGTTTCCGAGATTAGCCGCAACAAACAGACAGACATAAATTTTAAAAATTGTGTTTTTTGTTATAAGTACCATATATACTTTTATATGTATTTAGTGAAATACTGTTATTTTGTCATTACACACAGACACTCCAATTTTATTCATTACTAGTTGTTCGCCGCGACTTCGCCCGCTGGTGTTTAGGGTTTTAATTTTTTTGCGCGGAACCCTGATTCTTTTTTTAAATATAATTAGCCTAAGCTATTTCTTATAACATCAGCTATCTGACAGTGAAAGTCCCATCAAAATCGGTCCAGCCGTTTTCGAGATTAGCCGCAAGAAACAGACAGACATAAATTTTAAAAATTGTGTTTTTGTTGTAAGTTCCCTATAAACTTCCATATGCATTTAGTAAAAAGCTGTTATTTTGACTTTACAAATAGACACTTCAATTTTATTTATTGGTATAGATTATCTATAATGATCATATTAATATATATGCGACTAGCTGTTCTCCGCGACTTCGCTCGCGTGTTAGGGTTTTTATGTTTTTGCGCGGAACCCTAATTATTTTTCTAAAATAAAAGTAGCCTAAGTTACTCCTTATGAAATCAGCTATTTTCCAGTGAAAGTCCCGTCAAAATCGGTCCAGCCGTTTCGGAGATTAGCCGGAACAAACAAACAGACAGACAGACAGACAACAATTTTAAAAATTGTATTTTAGTTACAAGTACCGTATTTACTTTCATATGCATTTATATATGTTAAAAACTGTAATTTTGACATTACAAACAGACACTTTAATTTTATTTATTTGTATAGATAATTATTTTAAAGTGCATTTGAAATTGCAGGCGCATTTACTCGAAATGATGTTAACTTTAGTTACTACACTAATATAGTAAGACAAAACGCTGCACATGTCCTTCACCAAGATAGCAATAAACCGCAATCCTGAGTCACCAGCAACCACAAAGTAAGAGTAAAGAAACCGTACGTTATAAAACTTCTGGAGTATTTTTTGAGTGTTGTTGCTCGGTATAAAACATATTTGAACAAATAGTAAACTTTACAAGGCCTTGGGTAACAAATAATTAAACGTTAAACGTTCCTCTATATTCTAAACTAGTTGTTCTCCGCGACTTAGCCCGCAATTACGACTTACGATTGGATTTCATGGGTTTAATTTTTTTGCGCGGAACCCTAATTCTTTTTTAAAAATAAAAGTAGTCTAAGTTACTCCTTATAACATCAGCTATCTGCCGGTGAAAATCCCGTCGAAATCGGTCTAACCGTTTCGGAGATTAGGTGGAAGAAACAGACAGACAGTCTAAGAAACATTACAAACAGATACTTAATTTTTTTTATAGGATAAGGGTGACAAACGAGCACACATTCCACCTGATGGTAAGTGGTTGCTGCGGCCCATAGGTGAGGACTAAGATGGAATGCCTCTTTTCCAGTAAAAAGGGTCTCCGGTTCTCTGCACTCACCATTCGAAACACAGCAGGGTTAATCTGCTATTTTATGCTGGTATTCTGTGAGAGCTGGGTCCTTCCTCGGTCGAGCCGACCCATTCGTGCTACAACTATACTACTAATATAGTTGCAGCATGGCTTTACCACGTATATTTATTTGTAATGTTTATTAAATGCCACTTTTTATTGTTAGAACTTCAATAAAACTTCTTACTCCATGAGTTGGTGATATAACGTCAAAAATAGCGTTATTTACAAAATAGTAACTTCAGTGTCGAGTTTGTGTTATACAAAAATGATTTTTCTTCTTTTTCTATTTTTTTTTTACATATTATCTTCAGCGTGCAGTTTCTTCTCGGCCTGGGAATATATCAAAACGAATTTTTATGGATTTTTAACTTCTCAATATTTAAATTAAATTTTATTTAAACCGTTTTAGACAAATATTTGATACAAACTAAAATTTAAATGTATTCATAGTTTAGAGTTTAGACTGTACAGATAATTATCTAAAAACACACCGGTTGGTTTCCGAAGTATCAGTTGTTAATCGAAAGTGATGCATTTAAAAACAAAGTTGTAAAAATTTTTTAAAACTTTCAAATAGTATTACCCCTGAATAAAGATCCAATCTTCTATAAATCTAATATAATAGCCGAAACACGTTTTGTTTAACAGTTGTCGTAAGACCTCAGATGAAACCTCTGCAACTATTCCTTTTCAGGGTTCCGTATCCAAAGGGTATCCAAGGCGACCCCATTACTAAGCCTCCGCTGTCCGTACGTCCGTCCGTCTGTCCGTTTGTCTGTCAGCGGGCTGTATCTCATGTACCGTAATAGGTATATAGCCGCTATAACAACAAATAATAAAAATTAAAATAAATTAAAAATTAGAAGGAGTTCCTCTACTAGAAACGTGTATTACGATGGTACGGAACCCTTCATGTGCCAGTCCGACTCACACTTCGGCGGTTTTTTAATTGCTTATCATTCATAACAAGTACTATTCAAAATGACCGCCAAAATCGACATAAAATTTGGCATTAAACGCCTACACACTCCACGTATGGCAATAATTTATTTTTGGTCTAGGTCATGTCTATGATAAACCTTCATAAAATACTTTTGTGTCCAAAAATTTTCGCCGAGAACACCAATATGTTTATAAAGAACCTGCATTATGGCATTCCCAAAGATAATCCCAATTAGGCACAGCCCGATTTCAAAGAGCGATATAAATTAATGTAGTTTTAATATTGCTGTCCTTGTCTTTATGGTTTTATTACATCAAGCAGTTCATTATATTGAGTAAATATAATTATTGCCCAAATGAAAACAAATATAGCAACACTGTTAAGTGACACTTTCGAATGTCCTTGAAGTTAATTAATGTAAAATATTGTGTCCATATTGAATTTTATTAATTCAGTACACAATATGTTACCATGTGGCGATGGAGATGGATGGCGTGATGGATTCACGACATTGCGTCCCCTAGGTGTTGAAACAGACTACTATATATGCTACATAATGCAGTAAAACTTGGTTAAGTGGACTCTGGACAAATGAGAAACCTCCATACCTCCATACTTAGGTGAACTAAATTACCTCTGTTAGTGGGACAAAACAAACCTATATAACTGGAATTAGTTATTTCGATTTTATCGTCATAATTACCTCTGTAATTAAGATGGCGAGTATATTTTACCTCTTTTACAGAGACTATATTTTGTGTACCGTTTTGTTAACTAATTCTTATTCTACCCGCAAATTCCACACTTGGCTTATTGTGTAAAAGTGACATCCAGTTTTAGTTTGGTTTTCCTATCATCCGGATGTCTATTTGAAAAGGCCGAAGCGAAAGCACCTCTATAACTGAAGGAACCTCTATTCTCACCTCTATTAATGGAACCCTCTGTAAATAAGACAGATATTTGTTTATACCTGGATATCTGAGACACTGGGTAAGTGGAATACCTCTTTAAGTGAGACAAATTTGCAGGTCCCTTATGGTCCCAGTTGTCCAGGTTTCACTGTATATCCTATATATTATATAGTATATTGTATAATATACTATGACTGCCTCGTTGGTCAATTGTTGATCATGAGCTCTTGGATTTGAGTCCTGGGTCGGGCCAAGATCAGTTATTAGGTTTTTGTGTTAAGAAATTCTCAGTAGCAGCCAGGAGTGAGGAGTTTGGCGGTGTTTCATTCACCTTCGCGTGCCTCGTACTCTCCGGCCGTATCAAATTACCACATCATCGGGCTATGAGAGTGAGGGAATAGGAAGTGCACCTGTGCTTGCGAAGAAGACTGGTCGACGTGATTAAAATACGCTCTGGAGGACATTACATATACTATATACTATGGGAAATCCCTCAAGAGACTGACATATAGCGGTACACCTTCACGTTACGTCAGATGTGAAATGCTCAGACCCGAAATGGTGAGCAGCGTCAAATGTGCGTGACGTCTGGTACACCAACTGCCAATCCACTACTCAAATGTGGCGATTGAAGCAAATCCTCCCCACAACGGGAGAGGCGTAATTGAAATGGAGTTTTATGAAGCAATAGAGAAAGAAAATTCGAACTCGAGACCAGCGATACTTTGCTGTGACCACAAAGTTATGAGGTCAATTTTTTTATAGAATAAGGGTGAAAAACGAGCACATTCCACTTTATGGTAAGTGCTTGCTGTAACCCATAGACAGAAGATATTTTGTCACCCCTGAGGACTAAGGAAAAGGGTCACCGGTTCTCTAAACTCACCATACGAAACACAGCAGCATTAAGCTGCTATTTTGCGCTGGTATTCTGTGATGGCATGGTCCTTCCCCGGTCCGCGGTCGAGCCGACCTAGTCGTACTACAATAATAATATAGCTACAGCGTGGCTCTGCTACGTTTAATAATGTGCGAGGTAATGGTGTGTATTGATAGGACTCGGTTTGTGACATATGGCGATCTATCAACCATCTCATTGGACAATATACGGGGAAGTTCTTGAAGAAGAAAGCGATAAAAAGACCGCGTAGCAGTAACCTAAACGTATCATGGGTGTCGTAAGAGGTGACAGAGGGAATCAAAGCAGGAGACTGGCAGCAGCGTCTTACTAATAACATCTAAAAAATAAAAAACTACTGTTGCCACTGCTATCCTAAGCGTGGCAACTATAGCAAAATCTACCCTAAGAGTAAATATACGTAGGAGGCCTATGTTCAGCAGTGGATTTTAAGCTGTAATGGATGAAAGGAATAAAAAGGATGTTGTATTAAATTGTTTATGTAATTTATATTGCAGGCATTATGTGGTGTTGGTGTATGGTACTTGCCATATGCTCGGCGGAGAAATGGCGGTTTCCAGAGACCGCGTCGTCCATCCGAATTGACAGCAAAGTTCGGTTCACACAAACCGATCAACCGTTCAACGAGAACCAGAATTTACTTTCCACAAGGTAATGTTTCATGCTATATTTTTACAAAACATTAAAGTATAAAAACTAGCTAGCAGTCAACCTGATGGTAAGTGATAATGAAGTGGAATATAATAAAAGTGATGGTATATGTAAGAGAAAAGAGTTTGCAAAAATAGTAAAGGGAAAGATCAGACTAGCATAGTCTTCATGGTCACAAGTTCTTAAATAAATACAAGAATTAAAAAGTTTTTATATTCGGTACCAACCAGTCAGACTCATAGACAAAAAAAGAAAGCTTAAGTTAGAGACTATCTACGTCACAGCAGGACACAGGAATTCTTTAATTTCTAAGAAGCTTCTGGTGCAATCTGTCCGCCGCAATCTTCTAGTGCATGTTAGCAACTTCGCGTGTCTTTAGATATATTTCAATCCTCGGATATACAGGTTAATATTAAAATATTTCCATGTTTTCATTCACTGGCGAGCGTATGGTAATTTTGTGCTGGTGGATATGGTGACAAGCGAGCACATAGTCCACCTAGGTAAGTGGTTGCTGTGGCCCATAGAGATCTACATCTGTCCTCGATTACGAATCAAAATGCAGATGCGTCGTCACCCGTGAGGACTAAGATAGAATGCCTCTTTTCCAGTAAAAATGGTCTCAGGTTCCCTACACTCACCATAAGAAAAACAGCAGCGTTAACCTGCTATTTATACGGTGGTATTCTGTGAGAGCGTGGTCCTTCCCCGGTCGAGCCGACCCATTCGTGTTACAATTATACTACTAATATAGCTGCAGCATGGCTCTACCACGTATACTCGCCTACTATATAAAACTGACTGAAACTTTTTAACTCCTGAGCTACAATAGCTCTCATAATCATGAAAGAAATGTTTTCTGTACAGTAAACATTTTAAAATATTAGATAATTAATAGATATTTTTGTGAATTCTCAGTTTTCTTCAAAACCACCCGCAGTCTTCCACCCGTGTTTTGGTAACGAGCTCATAGACTACCATCACATCTAAAATAGTTTGGTGGCAATGGCTTTGTGTTTTCGCTAAGAATGCTTCAGTTTAAAAGAGAGCTTTAATTTTTTTTTGATAGCTCGATAATAAACGCTTCTATAGCGACCTGACCTTCGCACACTTCAATCGTTACTGTAATTGCGACTGAATATATTCGGTATCAGTATTAAACAACTATATAATTGAAGAATAATTCAAAAATGCATCGTTGTTACTAAAATTAGTCGAAATTATCACTTAATTAAAAACATAACGCAATGTTTCATCTAAGACAAAATAATAAGTTAATTGCAAGGATCCGAGGAATCGAGACGATAGAACAAAGAACGGAAAATACATATAAAGCCTCGACATAGCACTTCCTGCTGTATACTGATCTCTTATTAAAATTGAGCCCATTTGGCTTTAGAAAATCACCTATAAAAAATCGAAGGACATTTTCTACAACTTCTCAGAATACGTCATGAATGTTATCTGTAATTATTTTGCACGTTATAGGGCGTTTTGCGCAATTTATCGCAATCGCTTTCGGCACCTTGACCGACATTAAAAGTATATATTACGAAGGAGGAATTACCAGTATTGTTCTATCCAATACAATAGCACCCATTATCCCAGAAACTATTCACTTTGAGCAGTGGACTTGCGTCACCGCATCTAACGCTGTGATCCAATTAACTTGTTTTGGAAGTAAACAATGCTTTGCTTGAATCTCCCAGAGCAATAAACTATAGAAATTCACAATAGAATTTACCTTGGAATTTTGTAAACTCTTGAATTCATTACGGAACATATTGTTATATATTTATTTAAGCTTGAACGTATAATACAATAACCATTACTTATATACTGTATACCATTGAACTGTTTGCTAATTTTAACAAACGAACTATTTTTATAATGTTTAGCGTGATGATGTAGTCAAACATTTGTACAATATAAGAGACACATGTGCAACTGTGGACTTTTACGGGCTATAGAAAAAAAAAGGTCTACGTATAATCAATAATAATCTATTCTAGTTTGTTTTTGGATTGTCACGCCTAAGATGGAACACCAATTAAAAAGATTTTACTTTAAATAAGGGTGACAAACGAGCTCATCCACGCATCCACCTAATGTTAAGTCAATGATATGGCCATAGACACCTAAATCGAGTGAAATGTAGTGCTGTTCCGCACTATATGAAATACAGCATTAAACTTCTATTTTACGCTGATATCTCTTCACCAGTTCTTGACATTAAATATACGAAACACATCAAAACTATGCTGCTATTTGAAGCCTTTTTCAGTCACTCTGATCCTTTTGTGTTATAGTCATAACCCATTCAGTCAGTCCATCAACGTGATAGAGCTGCTACGTGGCCCTACCACATTAGGAAATTAGGTTGTGAGTCTAAGCGAACAAGGTTAAAGAAATGTTTCAGATGCAATATCAGAAACGATGCTGTAGTGTTAATAATTATATCTTAGTTCAAAAACTTATATTTTAGCATTAACAAATAGCTTCTAATAATATAAGTCTATAATCTATAACTTTATTTTATAGGACATAATATTATTAGGCATCGTTTGGATAACGTAAGTATCGTGCTTATTAAATCTTTAAAATTGGCAAAAATATTTTATTTTCAAGGTAAAATTGATCTTAAATTTGTTATTTGAAATCTATGTCGCGGAAAACCCGAACCTTGAATCAGTAGAATTAAGAATAATTAATCAATCACTACCATTGGAAGGGGAAATAATTGAAATCAAGCAACGAGATATGATTGCAAGTTCATTTATTCGGGGTTTACCCAGTGGCCCAGTGCATTCCAACTCCACTCCAGTGGAACAAGCCATTAATGATTGCAACACAGACACTACGAGTATGATTAGCGTCGGTGACATTAAACGCTAATTTGTATTGTTAACTATAATACTCCTGTTGTGATATGTTGTGGTAACTTAGAAAATACATTTCTTAAGGTTAATGATGATTTTTATCATTAATAGACTAACCTATGTTCAAGGTCTCGATTGAGTCATCTGATGTTAATAGTAATTGTGTTCTTGGTTAGCTTATTAAAGGCATTTTCTTTACGCTTGCTTTTAAGAACCCTAAAATGAAGTGGTTAAAGAAAACTGACCAATTTAATGTACTCCAAACACTTGTCCTCGTGCGTGATGTTGCGTGACAACGCATCTACATTTTAATTTTTGATCGAGGAAGGATGTGGTGTCTATGGGCCACAGTATCCACTTATCATCAGTGTGCAAAAAATTAATTATAACTAAACAAAACAAAATTAAACTGCCATTTACATTCCATGGATTCCCACATGATAGATGAAGAGTTTTAAAAATAGACTGAGTTGAACAATTGATATGTTCAAAAGTTTTCGTGCTTACAAAGTCCACATACTTGATAAATCCACACCATTAGCCACTAAAACCCATTTTTTATGTAAAAATAGCAATTAATCGATTTAAAAATATATTAATAAGATCAACAATCATTTATCTTTTTAACAATGTGCTTTTTATCATTTATATGTATGATATGATTGCTAGATACGATTTCATGCGGCAAAACGTTGGAATCTTAATTTTAGGCCTTAGTAGAACATACCTCGTGTTTTGCGTTTACGGCATGCAATAGATGACTGCTATTATAACTCAGTGTTGAAGCAAGAGCTTGTGCATAGTTTAGTCCGTTGTTACATCCCGATGACAGGTAATTTAAGGTTAGATATCGCCTTTTGCATGATTCTAATAATGGTGATTCCGATTATTGCCACTAGTTGGCGCTGATTTTATTCCATACAAATCGTAGTTAACTTTCTCGGGATCGAAAACGTAAAAAAAACTCGCACCAGACACACAGATGGACGGTCGTCTCTCACTCTTATTATATTTTGTAAGAGTGATTCTGGACCGTGTTTTTTGACATTAATCAAAGGATCCCTATGTTCATCATTGGACTCGTGGAGAGCTGTAAAGGTGACTATATTATAGTCACCTTTACAGCTGTAAAGGTGACTATATTAAGACACTTTATGAATCTTCAGAGGAAACATCACATAATATTGTTAAGCACTTTGTTTAAATGTCGATGCAGTGGTCCATGGACTACAGCAGACAATTAACGAAAGATGGATGATGGGTGTTTTAAGAAGCAACAAAGGGAAATTAAATGAAAAGATGGGCAGCAGCATCTTCCTGATAACAAGTCAAAATATTATAAAAACTGCGGTTGTTAACTCACCTGCCAAGATTGGCAACTATGGCAAAATCCTCCCTGTGAGACAATCTATGGGAGAGACCTAAGTTCCGCTGTAAACTTTTATAGGCTGGTATTAATAAGAGGGTGATACGAGGGTAATCCTTTTCTAGCACAAAGTTTAAGTATAACCATTTAGCGAGGAAGCGTAGCCAGCGTTCTTGGCACTATACTGGCAAACTTAAATTATCATACAACTCTTGGAGTTGTATGATAATTTAAGTTTAAGTTTTTGGAACAAAGTTCCTTATCGGACGGTACGGATTTGGCTGATGGGAGCTAGGCGACAAAAAGTGTAAGATTTTTTCGTCACTACCCCTTGCGTCATAGTGCAGACGGCCTTGGCGGTGAAATAAGGAAGTGAGATGGAATAATATCCATCTCCCTCGCACTTTTTCTTATCTTGCCATGAAAGAAATATCATTTTATTTCAAATGACGCTTCATTTTAATAGACGCTAGTGGACGCTAGTAATTCATTTATTTGTAATTTTGTTAAACAATAATATAATACCTACGTTTATCAATAATAATATACTACGCAAGGAACTTCGTTCCACCGTGTGTTCCACGACACTCACGCATTTATTTTTTATTATGACAATGAATATTGTTTATGTATTTTAATATAATGTAAATAAATACACGAATACATGCTCAATCGAAAAAGGAAGTTGAACGCCAAATCAAGTTTTTACATAAAGGAGAACGCATATTGGTCAAGGTCCCGCAACAAATTCAATGTGTCATTTAGTGAGCAATGAAAAAACTGATATCACTAGATATCATCTCACTGGGATTTCGTTTATTTTGCATTTAATTCTAAGCTTGTTAACCAACCCGTCTGCTCAGTGTGTTAAGATTTTTTTTTAATTATGCATGACTAATGGCGTAATCTTAGTAAGACATGAACAGCAGTGGATCCCAAAAGGGTTAAATGTAGAATGAAAAACGCTTGGCAAATGCAGTTTTTGTATTATTTGGAGTTATTATCAGGAAGATGCTGCCCATCACCTATCTAAGATTTCCTCTGCCGCCTTTTACATCTACCACTGGTTGATATAGGGTATTAGTTTCAAAATAAGAATGACGTTTCATAATTAAAAAAGAAACTTAATTCGAGCTCAAATGACCTCCATTAAATAGTCCGTAAGTTTAGGAATTAAGTCGGGATAAATTATACAAAAAACCGGCAAAGTTCGGGTCGGACTCGCGCATAAAGGGTTCCGTGACTATATTTTATCCAAAAAATTTGGAGATTTTTTTGGCAAATCGATTGCTTTATACTTAAACTATATCTTTGCTGATTATCTTAAATATAAATAACGCCACTTTAATAAATTCCATCCAGGCGAAGCTGGAGCGGTTCGCTAGTATATAATTTACCGGAGACCCTTTTCACTGGAAATGAGGCATTCCATCTTAGTCTGCAGGGGTGATAACATTTCTGCATTTTGATTCTAAACCGAGAATAGATGTATCCAATTACCATCATTTGTGTTCGCTTATCCCCTTTTCTAATTCTAAAAAAAATGTATACTACTTAATGAAAACTCAAAATTTTAGGGACCGAATGAATGTGCAGTTGGACGAAATCCCGGTCCGGGAGCCGGCGGAAACCGAGGGATTCAAGCAGCCGTCAAGACCCTTACGCTACCCTTCAAGGGTTGAACTAAACAGTGGAAGCCGCCGTGAACTACAGCGTCGTACTCACAATCAGCGCGATCGGGACCTGCACCATAATGATGTGTAAGTGTTAAAAGTGGTGATAACATCATCACATCTATATTATCACACACCGACTTGCCAGTGAAGTAAATAAGGCTCCAGCTGAAAACCAGCGCTGCGTTTGCAGAACGCTGAGTTGGAGACCGATTTGACGTCACATGTTAATTTTCTTTTGTTTTTTATTTTTTTCTTTTATTATTAATTAAAGATGTTACATGCACAAAATTTGCCTCTAAATTGTTAATGCGTAACGTTTGTATATTTATTTGTTTAAAATGTGTGTATCAAATAAATAGTTCTTTCTTTCTTTTATACTATACTATGTTACGCTAGTATAGGCCCTACAGGCCCGCTACCCTACGGGCTTAATCCGTTACAGGAGTTACACCGTACTGTATGTGTAACTAGGTGTTCTAGAAAGCGGTGGTACTTCACACCGGGGCAGCTTCTTAGTTTATATAAAGCGAAAGTCCGGTCGCGCATATGGTACTGCTGTCGCATATGAGCTAACTACTACCACATAGCAGCGTTTGATTGAAAGACATGCAAAGATGCTTATTGATGTGGTTGAAACCAATCTTGTCGACATCGAGCACAGGCGCAAAGTAGCCGGTCTTCCGGTATTCTACATATAAGATACATTTCTGAGAATGTTGGCTGTAAAAAGGAATTTAAGCATACATGCTTAAATACCTCATTCTCCTTGTTTCAATCGGCCAACGCGCCGGTCAGTGGGTCTTCACCCCTTTGTTGTCGATATGCCACGCATTAGAACGAAACGGTTTGCTGCGTCTGACTGAGTGCGTACAGCAAAGGAATGGGATAATTTTCCGGCGTGTCCTTAAGTTTTAATATAATCCGAGGATCTTCAAAGAAAGAGCGGGGAAGGATCACGCACTCGCAGAATATGACGTAAAATAGCAGCTTAATCAGCAGCATTGTTTCGTATGGTGAGTGTAGAGACCCTTTTTACTGAAAACGAGGCATTCCATCTTAGTCCTCAGAGGTGACAACACATCTGCATTTTGATTGTCAATCGAGGATAGATGTAGATGTCCATGGGCTACAGCATCCACTTACCATCAGGTAGACTGTGTAGACATTTATCACGCTTCTATAAAAAAAACCAGTCAAAAAAGTTCATTAATATCCGCCTTCTTTCAGGTACGAATCGGACGGCACTCTAGACTCGCTGCAATTCTGCAAGTGCAGTCCGACACCAAGCTGCGGTCAACGCTCCGAGTACTCGGTAAGTTCAACCCATTGACCTTTATACCAAAATTATAGTTCTACGATCGATAGGACCCCATTACCGTTACAGACTATTAAAGTCCACTACTGAACAAAGACCTCATAGATTGCCTCATAGGGGGGATGTTTGTCATAGTTGCCACGCCTGGCAAGCGGGTTGGCAACTGCGGTTTTATTTGTCGTTATTAGGAAGATGCTACTGAATATCTCCTGATGCTTTATTCCCTCTGTCGCCTCTTACGACACCACGGGATGTTATGGGGTAGTGAATATTCTTACACCGCCACTACACGATTACGGCTCTATTGGTGTATAGGAATCCATCTGTGTTGTGACCTATTTTTACTGGTAAGAGTCCGTTTGGATTTATACTACTTATTTTTAATCAACTTCAAAAAGGAAGAGGTTCTCAATTCTAGTATATATTTTTTTCGTATGTATGTTACGCCATATCTTCGCAGATTATGAACCGATCTTAATGGTTATTTGTTTTTATTAAATAGGACTCATTTATTACCTCAAGGGTAGCATTAAATTTTGAGAAAAAATTCCGCACCTAAGAGTCAAAAACAGAGGAAAATATTTCATACATATATTCAGTATTACAGAAATATTAAGTTACTTATATGATATATTCGCAGATTGAGAACCGATTTTAATGATTCATTTGTTCTTAAATAAGTTATACTTTAAGGGTGATCCCATATAAATTTAAAACCCTTAAAGGTGACAAAGAAATAATATCTTTTTTAGCAAATTGAAGTCGGTTTTTCTTTTTTGTTAAAATTTATAGTTATTACTCTGACTTACCTATTATTGCTGCCATGTAGCAAAGCAGAAAATTATGTGTTCCTGTGTGAAGAGTTTAATTATAGTTGGAGACATTCTTTCCTTGATTTTAATTTGTAATATGTTTACATTCTGAAAACTTGATTAAGGCGGTAAACCAAGTCAATTTCATGTTGTAAGACGTGTACGTAGACAAACATCTAGGTTCGTACTTGTTGCTTGCGAGATTAGAAACTGCGGGCCCTATCGCCACCACCAAATGTTTAGTCATTATCCTACCGTGCCATCAAATTGTGTCGACTGCAGGACTTTTCAATTTTAGTATTCCGTGGAACTAAAGGTACCTTACAAAAAATTTGTCAGTATTTTTATAATATTCTATGTCTTTATTTCAGAGAGTGTGTGGCGCAAACATGTACCTGTGTTGCTACAATGACCGCAAACAGCAGCCCTCAGGTAAATAGTAATGGTAGGACTAAGCTGCAGGTAAATTATGGCTGTAGCACGAATGGGTCGGCTCGGTTGAGGTAGGACTACGCTCTAACAAAATATCAGCGTACAATTGCAGTTTAATTTCGCAAATAAATTGTCATTGTGGTGAGTGCAGAGATTCGAATTTAACTTATTTCTTTAGTTCGTAATTTATTTGATGTCCCATTTTGGTCTGGCAGTAGAATAGAATATAATATTTTTATCAAATATACATAATAAGAATATCTATTGAACGACATTTATGTTGTTACTACCGGTTCGGAAATATCCTGAACCAGCAAGAAACCCAGCGGCATTTTTTAAAAACGTCTGTTTACAACACACTGCGTTGTATGTGTGTGTGTGTGTGTGTGTGTGTGTGTGTGTGTGTGTGTGTGTGTGTGTGTGTGTGTGTGTGTGTGTGTGTGTGTGTGTGTGTGTGTGTGTGTGTGTGTGTGTGTGTGTGTGTGTGTGTGGTTGTGTGTGGTTGTGTGTGTGTGTGTGTGTGTGTGTGTGTGTGTGTGTGTGTGTGTGTGTGTGTGTGTGTGTGTGTGTGTGTGTGTGTGTGTGTTTCGTTTCGTGTAATTAGTTTCGTACTCACGAATTTAGTTTCGTACTTACGAATTAAGTTTCATAACTACTAAATTAGTTTCACTCACGCCTGTCACCCTGAGGGGTAGGCAGAGACTACGGACTTTCATTTGGCGCGATCCTGACACACCTCTTTTGCCTACTTTACATCCATATATCTACGCATACACGCTCGTCGGTTAAGGGTACTCCTAATCTGGCCGATTTTCAATGTATCGCCGATTTGGTCGATAAATCTTCGTCTAGGGCGTCCCTTCCCGACTCTGTCGTTCACTTCTGCAACATAAATTTGATTTGTCACTCTTTCCTCGTTCATTCTTTCTACATGACCAAACCACCGAAGCATTCCCTTTTTAATCCTTGTCACAAAGTCACTTTCCCCTTATCACACTATTTGTCTGTTTACAAATTTACAATATATTGTACAATTTCTTTGCCAATGAGATATTGAATTTGTGATTGTGTAGACGATGGGCAAATCATCTACCACTTTCCCAATTTTCCATTATTATTCCAAACTTCTCATATTGTTTCGGATGAACGTAGTCCGAATAGTCTTTGGACTCTGCCAACCCCTTTTTGATAACGCTATATATGTATGTATTTGATATTGAAGTAATATGTACTACGTTTAAGTAAGTAGTACATATTACTTAAATGATATTTGATTATATCTTTAAATTTTCAACAGAATATTTCAACGAACTTGTGGACGAACGTCCAATGCTGCTTCCTGGTCACTTGCCCAGCGCTGGTCCCTTCCCCCCGCCCCCCGATACCCTGCTGACTGGTCACTACGAGCCGGGGCACGCGAACGAAGCCGCCTTGCTATCTGCTTTGGGCTCACCACCCGGAATCCTCGTTGGACCACAAGGACCTAAGGGAATCTTCAACCCCGCCCAAAGACCCGCAAATTATTACTCCAGGCCTTCTGTATTAGTCGGCCCTGATGGCCCAACAGGTAATATTGGACCAAATAACAAGCCGGTTCTCGTTGGACCTGATGGCCCTACTGGAATTGTAGGTCCGACTGGTGGCTCTACCGGAGTCTACGGTCCCACTAGAAGACCTTTTAATAATGAAGGAAATATCGTCAGCTCAAGTAAGAGGCCGGTCCTTGTTGGCCCTGATGGCCCCACTGGAATTATAGGTCCAGCTAGTGGCTCTACCGGAATATACGGCCACACTAGAAGGCCTTTTAATAATGAAGTGAACATCGTCAGCTCGAGTAGAAGACCGGTCCTTGTTGGTCCTGACGGCCCTACTGGAATTGTAGGTCCGACTGGTGGCTCTACCGGAATCTACCACCCCACTAGGAGGCCTTTTAATAATGAAGTGAGTACAGTCAACTCGAGTAAGAGGCCAGTGCTCGTTGGCCCTGAAGGCCCTACCGGAGTTATAGGACCTAGCGATAGACCTTCTATTTTAGTTGGACCCAACGGTTCAACCGGAACCATTGGACCTAGTCAAAAACCTGTCCTTATCGGTCCTGATGGACCCACGGGTATAATCGGACCAAGCGAAGGAAGTCTGGGAGCATATAGAGATCCTCAGGATATGCGACCGAGTGAGACTGCTCAAAGGCCCGTATTAGTCGGGCCCGGTGGTCCAACTGGTATCATCGGACCGGGATATAATCCACGTGGCGTTCTCGTCGGTCCCGGGGGACCTACAGGAGTAATTGGACCAGGCAGACCTGTTCTGTTCGGCCCTGGAGGACCAACAGGTAGAATTGGACCCAACTACGGTCGACAATATCCGGGTGGACGACGACCAATTTTAGTCGGGCCCGGAGGACCAACCGGTGTGATAGGCCCTTATGGAATCAACGGAAAATAAGTGTTGACTATTGTGTTACTAGATGTTAGATTGCTAATGTAAAAGTACCTGCGTCTAACGCAATGATCGTATGTTAGTACTTAAATGTAAATATTTTATATATTATATGTAAATGTAACTAGTATAAGTATCTAAACAAAAACTTTAAAGTGTGTCGTTAAGTTGAGTAGTGAGTATGAGTGTGAGTACCAATTGTAGAATACACGCGTAAAAGATTGCGCACATGAACTACTGTAAAAGCATCTATTGTTACAACACCAGGAAATGTAACATAGGAAATGTTTGGGCACTCAATAAATTATAATAAATATTAAAATTTTAACTCTTTTCTTATACAATTAAAAATAGCTCCTCAGTTTGTTTTCTTTACTTTTAAAAAGCATTGACACTGAAGCTAGGATATTTTCTGTAAGGTTCTCTGAACTGGGTGAGATGATTGCACCTACCCATACGGACTCTTAGGCAAAATAGGAAGCCTAGTACCTTGTATGTAATATTACCGACGATAAGTAATACAGATAATTTTGTGCGTCATTTTTAAAGTTTAGATTACCATATTTTGTATCAAGATTTTTCTTTTTGAGTTTAAGAAACAACAGACTTCTAAGGTATATTATAATCAAGATGAAATATATTTATGCGCTTACACAAATAAACCATATAGAGGCGGTGTACGAATATTCACTACCTTATATCGTCTCATGGATGTCGTAAAAGGTGATAGAGGGACACAAATAAGAAGATGGGCAGCAGCGTTTTTCAAAAACAACTAAAAATAAAAAACTGCGTTTGCAAACCCGCTTACCAAACGTGGCAAATGTGACAAATATCCCCCCTATGAGGCAATTTATGGTAGAGGGGCTTATTTCAGCAAGGAACATTTGTTAGTTTATAGACTTTTGTTAGATATATAAACAATATAGGTTTGGCTAAAAATTGTTTTAAACAAGCCTGTTTGGCATCTTGCGACTTAAATACTTCGTACTTTTAAAAACGGGAATATTTTTATTATGACCTAGTATCATAAACTTAATGCAAATATGTCCAATTACTTTAAAAATATGTTTTCTAGTTGGCTTGGAAAAAATTTGACGTATGTTGACAGAAGCTGGCGCGAAGCCAAGCATTTCCACATGCGTATGATATCGAGTCATATCTGACGGCTTGGCGTTGAAAATTTCAATAATAAAATAGAAGCTGGTTAAAATAATTCTGTGACGTTTGATATTTTTTCACAAGTAACGGCGACAAATGATCTGTTCGGAAAATGTACACTAGATGGCATTATTCTTTATCATTCATCGAACTTCACTATTTCTAAGTATTTATTCTATTATACACTAGCTGTTCCTCGCGACTTCGCCCGCGTGTTATTGGGGTTTTAATTTTTTGCGCGGAACCCTAATTATTTTTCTAAAATAAAAGTAGCCTAAGTTACTCCTTGTGACATCAGCTATCTGCCAGTGAAAATCCCGTCAAAATCGGTTCAGCTGTTTCGTAGATTAGTCAGAACAAACAGACAGACAGACAGACAGACGGACAGACAGACAGACAAAAACTTTAAAACTTGTATTTTTGTTATTAGTACCGTATATATACTTTCACATGCATTAAGTAAAAAGATGTTATTTTGACATTACAAACAGACACTTCAATTTTATTTATTTGTATAGATGTATAGATATGCTTTTGCTTGTGAGCAGCTGTAACCGCCATAAAGTAGGGGAGACCGGGGCCACAATTAACAAAATTTGCGTTTTTAGTTGTACCTTCGAAATAATTAAATATTAAGACTTTATTTTAATGTGACATGATGCTTTAACTATTCAAGTATCATGTTATTAACATAAATCAAACATAAAATAAGTGATGTCTTAAATGGAACATTATTTCTGAAAAAGTCAGTTGTTAATTCTTACCCCATCAACGGGGCTAGAATTAACAGCTCTGAGGTAAGTATTAACATTATGTTATGCCAACTATTCAAGAAGAAAACAAATATATGCATGCAATTATTCTTTCATTAATAAAAGTGCTATTAATACAGACGTGTTTGGAGCATCTGTTTTTTATTTATATTAACATTACCAATCACAAAATATCTAAACATGAAAAAAAATAAACCCGTTTAATTAATCGTTAAACTATTTTAGATATCAATATTTTTTGGTCACTTTTTCTTAACATTTATCAGTTTTGTACCGATCATCAGTTATAGTTTCTATGCGCATAATTAAACAATTGTGCAAACAACGAGATGAGATGAGGTGGAAAATGGTATTTTCCTTTAACTTACACAACATGGATAAAATGTAGTTTTTTTTATAAAATCAAAAAATACTAAAAAATATCAACGATTAGAAACTAAATTAAGTAACAAAAGAATATCTATTCGTACTCAACGTCCGAACTACAATTCAGGCAATTGAATGATGTGATGTCACTTTTGATACACCCACCTTGGGCTCAGCCATTGCAAGAGATATATTAAATCCTGTCATCATCTGATAAATCTTCATTATACCAGACACCACAAACAATACATAGCTTTCTTTCCTGGAGTATCGATGAGAATGGCAGATTTTTGGCCCACTTACAATTAAATTGAGCTTGTGGAGGAGCTTTTCAGTCAGAGGTTTTACAATTTTTTCCAATAAATCACTAGCATCATTTTAGCTTAGGGCTAGGTTTTTTTGTACCTAACTCATTTCCGCTGGTGCACCCGCTTTTTTTTTACAAAATGGAATAGTGAAAATAGTGAAACGTGGCAGAGCCCAAATTCTTTTGCTATATTTCGGTAATTTCTGTTTTGCTTCATTACTTCTAGCACAGTTAACTCGTAGACCCATAAATTTGGTGCCTCGAGTAGTTTGTCGTTTATACGTGCTCATGCTGTCATAAAAAATATAAAATTATTACTTATACACAAACAGTCAGTTTCCTTGTTAATAATAGACCTCGCATCCGGGGTTGGTATTAACACGTTAATACTAACCCTGCCGATTTGTTAATTATAGCCCCAAAGGCACATTTTTGGTTTTAAATAATATAACCAAATATTGGTTAATAAGTTAGTCAAATTAACAATGAAGCGTTATTAAGTATAAAATATGCATCTGAGGAAAAAAAAACATAATCATAACAAAGTTCGCAGAGCATAAATCAAGAAAATGTGAAGTTAAAAATGTTCGTTACTTGCGTAAAAAAGAAGTCTGGTACGCAATTCAGTCGCACGATGCGTGGATTACAATTGACCAATTCCGAGTCATGCGGCGTGATCTATTGGGCGTTTTAAAACACACGCTGAAGGCTTAGTATGAGTTACGGCCCGCAGCTGCCCCTGCAAAGATCACCTTGGCTGGGGCCATAGCAGCCTCCTCGACGGGCAGACGCGGGTCGGGCCCAAATGGCCATACGGAAAGATGTCATATAGTACTAAACTGTAGGGAGAAGGCTAGAAAAATATAGTACGTACCTGTATCCGTATCTCAGACCGCCCTAAGGCTCGGTCAGGCCGTAGGTGGGTGTAAGGTGCATGGAAAGTAGTATTTAGTAATATGTATGTGTCTGAGGCCTGGCCCAGCTGAGGTGACCGGCAGCGGCCGATTTCCATGCTGCCCCACAATGCTGCATCACTCCAGCAGGCTTCCCCGCTGGACCATTTCTTTCTTCATGTAACATGTCACATGGCCTCTTACGACACCCACAGGACAGTAACGGGGTAGTGGATGTTCTTACACCGCCAATACATGCTTCAAATTATATATAATACGGCATAAATTATGTAATAAGATTTAACTGCTTTTTTCTACAGTCACTTTTTATGCAACCCTTGACGGATGGAGTTGTTATATCCTTACCTAGTACATAATAATGCAGACCACTCCAGAAGTATTGCTTAGCAGTAAAGATCACTTGAGTGGTCTAGAACCTAGAATACTGACACAGTATTCTAGTCACTGTTTGTGTACACAGTAGAGAACCCACAGTTAGTCTAGACCTAACATCTGTCGCATTCGGGCATCTCTCGTTTTCCTAAATATTATTGTAATTTATAATGTTGTTTCATTTATAAAGTTACTTTTTAAAAAGCATTTTTAGTCTTTTATCAATTTTTTATAAAAAACCTTACCCCCACACTAGGTTTCTCTCCTGTATCGTGCAGAAAGTTTACAAACACAAATTACGCAAGGACAAACATCGAAACCCGGAACAATTATTTGCGGGCCAAACAAATACTTGTTCGCGGGATTCGAATCCGCGGCCCCAGCGCAACAACTCATTGCAAAACCTCTGCGCTACAGAGCCGTCTTAATTTCTAAAACCTTGACATAACAGATTTATGGATTCTTATACGCTGTCACTACAAGCCAAGTAATTTTAACAGTGGTAGAGCCACGCGGCAGCTTTTGCTGTCGCACGGATGGGGGCTCGAACCGGGGTGGTACCACGACCTCACAGAAAACCAGCGTGAAGTAGAGGATAGAGGATAGAAGTAGATCTCTATGGGCCGCAGCAACCACTTACCATCAGGTCGACTGTGTGCTCGTTTGTCACCCTTATCCTATAAAAAAAATATGCACTATAATACCAACTTAACTGTAATCGACTACTAAAATATTAAAAATTTTGTTATTCAATGATCGCATTCATCTAAAGACTCGACTATCGAAATAAACACAGCTGAGGTAAACGACGGTCTGTTTTATAAACAACATAACTCCAATAATTTCCATCCATCTAATACAACCTATAAACTTCCACTGCTGAATGTAGGCTTGCCCCATAACATAGGGGGGATTATGGCCTAGTTTTCACACTTGGCAGGCGGGTAACCAATCGCTGTTTTTATTATTTTGTGTCGTTTCGTGGCTTGTACGTGGTAGAGCCGTGCTGGAGCTATATCAGTGGTATAGTTGTAGCTCAAATGGGTCGGCTCGACCGGGGAGGTACCACGCTCTCACGGAATACCAGTGTAAAATATTAGCTTAACGCTGCCGTGTTTTGTATGGTGAGTGTAGAGAACCGGGGACCCTTTTTACTGGAAACTAGCCACTTTAGTCCTCAAGGGTGACAACGCATCTGCATTTTGATTGTTAATTGAGGATAGATGTAAATAGACGTCTATAGACCACAGGAACCACTTACAAAAAAAGGTTAAAAAAAGGTTATCAGGAATATGCTGCTGCACATCACCTGCTTCAATTTCTCTCCTACGATATCCAGGAGACGATATAAAGCTTTTTATCGAACAAGGGTGACGAACGAGCACATAGTCCACCTGATGGTAAGTGGATAAGCCCATAGACATTTATCCTTGATTAAGAATCAAAATGCAGATGCGTTGTCACCTCTGAGGAATCTACATTCACCATATGAAACATAGCAGCATTGAGCTGCTGCTGCTGTGAGAGCGTGGTCCTGCCTAGATCGAGCCGACCCATTCATACTACAACCATAATATAAACTATATATCGTCACTACACAAATTGTACTCTGTTTTCTATATCCAACGATAATATTTTACATGGATAGCCTAACGCACTACATATTCGTTAACCGTAAATGTCTCAGTCAAAATCATGGACAACATCTCTATCCAACGTATTCAAGCGCTGCGCCGATGACGATAGAAATAAACCGATAAAACAACATCTGTCGATGTCAGAGGATTTTGGCGCGTTGCATTGCATATCCCAGACCGATGTTATATCAACAAAGCCCATTTACGACCCTCCTCTCATGTGTTCGCCAAGAGCCACTATATTCCGTTTGCACGTTAAACTATTATTGACTTCATTTATAGCAGATGAAATCTACAGGAAATGTATAGCGTCTGAAATACATGAAGTATTTTCATAATTATATTTCAAAATGGCGGCCATTTTGATACCACATTACATGGTAGAGCCACGCTGTAGCTATAATGGGGCTACAGCACAAATGGGATGGCTCAACCGGGTATGACCACGTTCTCACATAATCCCAGCGTAAAATAGCAGATAAAATCGATTGCCAAATCTGTAACTAACATTTGAGATTTTATAGCGTTTTATTTTCTTATTTTTAATTTACCGATGCCGGTGCTGCAAAGCACCCGAAACATGAGGAAATAAAAATGAGTAAAAGTAGTTTTATTTAATAGATTTCAACTTTAGCTCATAATATCCAACAATGGGTGGTCGAAGATTTATTCGATAAACGTAACTAGAACATTGACTTTCGTTCGTCGATTAGTTGATTAACTAGTTGAATTCATCGACTAGTTCTTCATCAACTTGCAATCTTAAACGTATATATTAAATGCTACGTCACGAACGATCAACAAGTCTTGATTACAACACTGCGTTAAATTTTGAGAACAATTAATTTTACGAAAATTATTTACGTATCGAGTATTGTGAAAATTCAACTAGTATATTGATTCAACGCTCATCGCGAATGACATCATGTTGGCATTAGCTTGATTGTTATATTGATAGAAAGAAATATTTTTCTCATCATCATCTTTACAGCCTTTCACAAGTCCACTGCTGAACACAGACTTCACCCAAGGAATGCCACAAAGCTAATATTTAAAAAATATATAAATCTAATATTTCTATATTTATAATATGATATACACATAAACAAAATCAAATATTGACAAACATTATGACAGTCTACTCACCGATAGTAGTTATAACAATGATGCTGTAGAAGAGCGCACCGGTGAAGGTCCACTGGATCTGCTCAGTGCTCTCGTTGCCGTCCCACCCGCGGACTTTCATCTCGAGCAAGATCGCATTCTCAAAGTCCTGCGCATAATTTTAATATTTATATTTCACAATCTATTGAAGAATTTCTTACAAAAATAAAAATATCAGACTTGCGTTCGCAGAAATCTATATTAAATACTAAGAAAATTATGCTATAACATAATCTTACGTTTTCAAAAAACCCCAAAAATACAAGTCAGCATTCTGATTTGAACTGCTATTAGTAACTTAGATAATGAGGAGTAGTTAAAGAATATGGCTGATACGTATGTATTTAGTGTTTTGACAAAATCAACAATGAGAGGCCAAGTCTGTACACCTGATGGTAGGTTAATTCAGTGGCTCAAAGTCATATAAATTATGCGTGATTGAGAATTAAAATGGAGACGCGTTGTCACGCGTTGTCTAGGGACGAGGATGCAAAGCCTCGTTAAATAAAAAGGATATCTGGTTCTCGTCATTCTCCATACGACACACAAAGGTAATATGCTGCTAGAAATTCTGTGACAGTATGATCTTTCTATGGTCGAGTTGACCCTAACAAGATACAGCTATATACACTGGAACGACACTCCGCCACGTGTAGATAGACAATGAAATTTTAAAATAATTTACGTCACCTTCACACCAACAACGTATATTGGTTACGTATTTATGTAATATAAATATTTATAAGTACGCTATTATCATGTAATATTGTGTTTTAATTTTTTTTTAAAAGTTAGTTTTTCTTTTTTATCAGCCTATACAAGTCCACTGCTTTTTGACAAAAACATATTATGCTGTCAAAAGAACTTATTAGCTGTTTTTCTAGCTGATTTTAATTACTTGCCGCTGAAAACGTGGTTTCAAAAGTATATAAAAGCACGCGCGTATTCGAATGCAACGTCGTTTAACAATTTTTAAGCAGTGCTTTAGAAGACTTAAGATTTTGAACAAAGGAACATTTTTACATTTTTATCTTAGATTATAAACCCTGGACTTGAAACTGTGTTCAACTTATACTTTGATCTGTACGGTACGCAGTTATAAATGAATTAGTCTTAAGAAGAACCTTAAGCATGTCGACGACGTCGGATGTCCAGTTGGTCTGGTTAAGCAGTGGGACCGTGCGCGTCATGTGCCAGATGCTCTGCGTCGTGTTGCTGCGGATCTGCGAGATGTTCATCTTTACCTGTGATACATATAATATTAATATTTTATATTAACTATTACAAAAATGACAAAAAAGTCGATACCTGCGGAATTTCTTTCACCGTTTCTTCTCCGGTTTAAAACATCTTAATTCAACATAATAGTAGATTTAGTAGGTATAAAAAATGACATTTGAGAAATGAAATAAATGACGTTAGAAAATAGGCTGTTGCTAATCATAGAATTATCGTATTTTTTTTAAAGGATAGGGTGACAAACGAGCACACAGTCCACCTGATAGTAAGTGGTTGCTGTGACCCATAGATATCTACATCTATCCTCAATAAATCAAAATACAGATGCGTTGTCACCCGTGAGGACTAAGATGGAATACCTCTTTTCCAGTAAAAAGGGTATCTGGTTCTCTGCATTCACCATACGAAACACAGCAATGTTAGTCTGCTATTTGACGCTGGTATTCTGTGAGATTGTGGTCCTTCCCCGGTCGAGCCGAACCATTCGTGCTACAACTATACTATTAATATAGCTGCAGCGTGGCACTATCAGGTTAAAATTATAATAAAAAATACTTACTTATTTAAAATTTTATGTACAAAAAATGAAGGCGTACATATGGCGGACTTAATGCCTTAATGCATTCTCTCCCAGTCAACCATTAGGCTAAGCAGAGATAAACATATGGGACAAAGTGCAGCAAAAGTAAACTAATAAGGCGAAAAAGATAACGAAGTTCGAATAAATCAGAATATATAAATTTAAAATTAATACAGTTTAATTCTATCAATATTATATTTTATATCATTATCATTTACCCGGGTTTAGCCCCAGCAGCACCTAAGCCTACTGTCACAGATATTGCAAGGTTACTATTAGGTAGTTTTATTTGACGCAAATAGCCTAATCATGCCAGTAAGTATCAGTAGTATTACTTGTTATATATATATATATATATATATATATATATATATATATATATATATATATATATATATAACTAAAGTAACTGACTCATATTTCGTGAGTATTACTAAAATTAGGTTAGGAGATATATTATGTATTACAATGATTTGAAAAAACATTACATTTAATTGTGGCATTTTCTTACCATTCCACCCGTTATGACACTACGAGTACAATGGAACTTGTATAAGCGGTCCAATCTGCTAGCAATCATTTTCAGGATGATATTGTTGAACAGTGCGCAACAGAGACGCGCACCGCTTGCGCATAGTCACGTTAAAAGCATAACAAATAACAATAGAGTTAAATCCAAGATTCACACTTCACACTTTCTGGTAAAAAAAATTCTTGTCACGATAGAACAGGCAGATGCATTTAGTCATACGTTCGTTATACATACAGTTATTGCTGAAAATAGCTACCCACTTCTCTTTCATGTTGTGCTTCTAGCCGCTCGAAGGTGACGGCGCCAAGAATGCAATAGGCCACCACCAGGCTTATCATCACGAAGTGCGAGAACACCAGGGAGCACAGCTTCCATGTGTAGTACAGCACCTGATACATATTTATATATATGTACTTGTCGTTAGTCTATTACACATTTTTATCTCGTACAAAGGAGAGGGAGACAAACGAGCAAATGGCTCACCTGATTGTAAAATCTGACTACTGCCGCCCATGGACAACTGCAACACCAGGGGAATTGCAAGTACGTTGCCGACCTTTTAAAAAGGTAGGATCTTTTCTTAAAAGTCCCTACCTTAAGTTGTATCGATCCGGCAAGATTTTACAAAATATTCGTGAATTACTACATAGTGAACAAGTGTAGTATATTGCGGAAGAAGTGGATTAAACATGTAGTTTATATCATTTGCAACGTAATCTTATTAGTCTTGTTATCTCTGTGAAGCTTCAATTTTGAAAACGAGCTACTTGAACAATAAATACCGCAATCGCCTTTCCACTCAAGACGCAAGGAGGACTATATATCGCCTCAAAGACACTGACAAAGAAGAAATAGTTAAAAAAGTGCAGTAGTAAAAGTACACCAATTAAATTACATGATAACCGTTGTAAAAAATTAATAATAATAATAACACTAATAATAATAGCATATTTTTTTATATTTTATCTTTTTCATCATCATCATCATTACAGCCTTTCATAAGTCCACTGCTGAAAATAGGCCTCCCCCAAGGAATGCCACAAAGCACGGTTCTGAGCTACCTGCATCCATCGACTTCATGCATGTCTTACCAGGTCGTCACTCCATCTCGTGGGGGGTCACCCTACACTTCACCTACCGGTACGGGGCTGCCACTCAAGAACCTTTCTTCCCCATCGGTTGTTGGTCCTTCGAGCTATATGGCCGGCCCACTGCCACTTCAGCTTACTAATCCGTTGGGCGATGTCAGTTACTCTGGTTCTACTGCGGATATACTAATTTCTAAGTTTATCACGCAGAAAAACCCCGAGCATAGCCCTCTCCATAGCTCGCTGAGCGTCCTTGAGCTTCCTTATATGGCCAGCAGTGAAGGACCACGTCTCAGATCCGTAAGTCATCACTGGCATCACGCACTGGTTGTACAATTTCGTTTTAAGGTTTTGAGGTATGTCTGACGAGAAGATGTGTCGTAGTTTCCCGGACGCTGACCAGCCGAGTTGAATCCGTCGATTGACCTCTCTGTCGAAGTTGGACTTACCTAGTCGGACTATTTGTCCCAGGTAAACATACTCGTCAACAACTTCGAGCTTAGTGCTCCCAACAACTACCGGCATAGGTGTGACATGGACATTAAACATGATCTTTGTTTTGTCCATGTTCATCCTAAGACCTATTCGTTGGAAGACACTATTGAGGTCATTGAGCATGGTGCTTAGGTCCTCCGGCGATTCTGCAGTAAGGACTATATCGTCGGCAAATCGAAGGTAAGTGATGTACTCGCCATTGATATTAATACCGTATCCTTTCCAGTCCAGAAGCTTGAAAACGTCTTCCAATGCAGCGGTGAAGAGTTTCGGGGATATAACATCACCCTGTCTTACACCTCTCTGCAATTGGATAGGTTTCGTACTCTGGTTCTGTACTCGGATAGCCATCGTAGCTCTACTGTACAAACACTTCAGCACTTCGATATACCGACAGTCAACTTGGCACCGCTGAAGGGACAGCAGCATCGCCCAGATTTCGACGTAATCAAAGGCTTTCTCATAGTCCACATACGCCAGACATAGTGGCAAATTGTACTCCTCTGTCTTCCTTATAATTTGCCGAAGGGTGTGTATGTGGTCCATGGTACTAAAGCCTTTTCGGAAACCGGCTTGTTCAGGAGGATGGAAGTCCTCAAGACTGCGTGCGAGATGATTCGTAATGACTCTCGAAAACAGCACGTAGACGCGGCTCAGAAGGGAAATCGGTCTGTAGTTCTTCAAGAGAGAGTTATCGCCTTTCTTAAAGAACAAGACCACCGCACTTCTGCTCCACGCCTCCGGTGTAATGCCACCATGGATGACGGAATTAAAGAGCTTCTGAAGGACTTCAAGTACCGGTTTTCCACCCGCTTTCAGAAGCTCCGCTGTAATTCCATCCTCGCCTGGGGCCTTGCCGTTTTTAACATGCTGGAGAGCCATTCTAATCTCGCTCAGACTGAAGTCCGGGATATCATCGGAATAGTGTCGGATAAGACTCGCTCTTGGATCGTTACTCACACTTGCGTGTAGCTCCAACAATGACGTGTACAGCTGCCCATAGAATCTCGCAATCTCACTCAAAATCTCTGGTGCCCCGGAAACGATGCTGCCACACTCGGTCTTCAGCTTTGACAGTTGGCTCTTTCTGGCAGACAGATCTCTGGCGAAGACTTTGAAGCCTTGGTTCCGCTCGATCGCTTCTTCAATACGAGCTGTATTGAAGTTGCGTAAGTCCCGCCGCATGCATTTGGAGATCTGTCTGTTCAGTTGCCTGTATGCTGTCAAATCTGTTGAAGAATGTAGCTTCATCTCCCGTCTAACAGCCATGAGATTGAGAGTGTGATCGGAGAGTTTTTGTGTTCTTCTCTGGCGGATCTTGCAGAACTTAGCTCCGACCGCATGGACAGTTATCTTTTTCAATTTACATTATGTATTCGCACATTCGCACCCATTCCCATAATGCTACCTACGTTGCTATTGTAATAATATCCAATTCATAAGTGAGCGGACCGCAGTATACCTCACATTGTCTTGTCTCACATGACCTTTAATGGTGGTAGAACACTTTCTCTGCTTAGGAGTTGGCTTAGGTAGGTACCACCCGGTAGGTAGGTACAGGAGGTTTTCCGATAAGAAGGGTAAATGAAGCCAGAATGATTACAGGTTGTGAGGAATGCCATCTCAATCAATCACCGACGACTTCCGACTCCGAGGCGACAATGCATCTGTAACCTTATTTTTTTTGAAGTTGACCGCAAGTGTCCATGGTCTGCAGTAGCCATTTACAATCAGGTGGATTGCAAGTCCATTTGCCACTTTAGTTTTATAAAATAATACCTATTACATTATCTTACCACGTCCAAGGTTGGCAGCGAAAGAACGTCTTAGATTTTAGTAATTAAATCTGCCCTTTTAAATAGATTAACCTTTATACACACCAATAACGAAAGGTAGACGGAGCGCTGTGTACATTTTAAAAGCTGAAACCATGATTCAACTTTTTTACGCACTTACGTATATATCTGCTTTCTTTCTCTGTTTATAAACCGGTAAAAGTCCACTGCTGGACCCACACATACGCACGTAACCCCATGTTATTGGTTGCAAAAGACTTTAGATGCATATGTGTACGTGAGTGTGTTTTTACATATAGTTTTTTTTATAAAGTCGCAATCCACTTGATGGTGGATGCTGTGGCCCATATAAATCTACATTTATCCTCAACTAAGAAACAAAATGTCAATGCGCTGTCACTCCAGATGACTAAGAAGTTCATCATGGTTTTGGCTTGGTTTTTGCGTCTTTGAAAATGTACGCAGCGCTCCAACTTTCTTTTTTTATTGATCTGTGAGATTATAGAAGTATAAATAAATAAATTCATAACTGGTATATTTAGTTTAATATTTTAATGTGCGTTTTTGAATATTGTATAATCTAGTAAAAGTGTTAATAAAGTAACTAACTTTAAATAATTGGCAACCTTTCTGCATTGGCATAAGATGTTAATGAAAAACGCAATAAATGTCCAAGTTTATATTTTTAGTATAGTTAACGTAAAATGATGATGTGCTTCTGTCGTAGACGAATCGCTGTTATTCGTTATAAATAAATTACTGTAAATCTGCCAGTTGCTGTAAAAAATCATTTTTTAGTTACTGACACTAACACATTATTTATGTACGATCACTGTAATTTATTTGTGTAATTGACATAAACTAATTTAGTTTATTTTATTCTACCTAAATTTCGTATATAGTACGTATCGTACATCGTTGTCATAGTGAAAATATAACGTTGATTTTTTTTAAAGTTGAAAATATTTACTTCGCCAATATCCGCTCAATAAAAGACAAGAATAAGTCTAAAGAATTAGCGGTCAGCCACCGCAGAGCCTACTGCACCTGCAAATGCCTCGTGTAGAGGTGAAACACGTGTTGGGAGTAGTGGTGCTGGGATTAGTGGTGACGGTGATAGTGCACGCAATTGAGGGAGGGCGGGAGGTGCTCTTCATACTAGTTAAGACACATCACTTTATTTTGAGCGGATATTGGCAAAGTAAATTTTTTCCAACTTTAATATAATGGGTTTCCTCAAAGTAAGGCCTGATTCTATTAAGTTCATTTTTCTATAGAATAAAGGTGACAGGCGAGCTCATAGTCCACCTGATGGTAAGTACACCCTGAGGACTGAGATGGAATGCCTCGTTTCCAGTAAAAAGGGTCTCCGGTTCTTTACACTCACCATACGAAACACAGCAGCATTGAGCTGATCAATTATACGATGGAGTTATTTAGCAAAAATGTGAATCATTTGAACTTTATCCACCAAGCTTGCAGATATACTCGGGCTCCATTAGCTACTTATCATTAAAAAAAAAAACTATCAGCTGTTAATTTAATAACATTAAAACAATTGTATCAGGGCAAAGGATTATATGTGGTATAGCCGTGCTGCGGTTAATTATGATTGTAGCATGAATGGGTCGGCTCAACCGGGGAAGAACCACGCTCTCACAGAATACCAGCTTGAAATAGACAGCTCAATTCTGATGTGATTCATATGGTGAATGTATAGAACTGGAGGCCAATTTTTCTGAAAAAGAGGCATTCCATCGTTATTCTCAGGGGTGACAACACATTCTGTATTTTCATTCTTAATTAAGGATAAGTATAGATGTCTGTTGGCCATAACATCTACTTTCTTTCAAGAGGACTATGTGCTCGTTTGTTACGCTCAAAAAATGGAGTTAAAAGGATTACACACTCAAAATATTATATAGACAAAATAGTCTATCATATATATTGTGCATTGTCAGTATCTTACCTTAGCACATTTGCTTGGAGGCGGTGGTGGGTACTCCACCACACGTTCCACTCGTGTCTCCCGTCGGGACATGGCGCAATAACCTCACTCTCTAGTAACACTTTATATCACTTTTAAAATTCACTCCATTTAAATCATACTATCCTGGTAAATGTTACTTACATTTATATGATTCCACTTAATTCACTAATCTGGTTATTACTGCTGACAATATCATAATATTAAACACATTAAATAAAACTGGTCCTAAAAGTTTACTAAAGAACTCCATTTATTTAATCTAATTAGAGATACACTTGGAATATCTAGTAAAGGAAGCACTAAGTACTAAGAATATAATATTATCACTTAAACATTTACTATCCTAATAATATACTGCATGGACACATTCTAAATAATTAATGGGAGCTTTAAGTCGTAAATCATCATAAATCAACGCGATTCTCTCACTAAATCTAGCAAGTTGGTGTCACTAATAAAACACTATCCACTTAATATATTTCATTCAACGTAATCCAGGGTACTGTGTTATGATATGTTAGCTTCAATATTTACACTATTTGTTGGTAACGTCCAACCACCAACTACGCGTACCCCGCACCGTGTATATCTGGAGTCGGGAACGCGTCCCGTCTCGTGGTTTTACGATCACTGTTCAGGGTTACCATGATATTCATAACCTGAGAAAAATATTAAATATTCAACGTTTTATTCCGATTTATCCGTTTGTAGCAAATACAGCATATAGTTAACTATTGTCATTTAGAGAATTAATACCAAATTTGTAAGTAGTTTTACGGCTTATAATTCTAAATTTTTATTTTTATAACGCTTTTTAGTAGCTTGACCTTATGTATATTTTTAATGGAATTTGTTAATTATGTTTTCACATAGTTCCAGACTTTGGAATAATCTGAAAACTTGCATTCATAATAAGAACCGGTGACAATACTATAAATCAATGACAATGACTTAGTTTTCTCACTAAGATCGTCAGAACATCACTCTATGTTCAGTGCATGTTGTTTTAATTTTTTTTTTGTAAACACTATTTTTTTCGTGCGATGTTATAATAAATTGACTGCTGAACATAGGACTTCCCCGAAGATTTATAGGAGGAGCATAGTCTCGTAAGATATTTGGATATTTGCCATATTTACCACGCTTGGGATTGGCAAGCGCAGTATTATTTTGAGTCGTTTTATCAGGAAGATGCTGCTGCCTATCTCCTAGTATTTACTTATTTTTGTAAAAATAGTTTTATTTTTATGTACATACATTCCATTATAATTATAAAGTATATTTTACTCGTATACTTATACGTGGTAGAGCGATGTTTCAGGTATACTAAAATAGTAGTAGTTTTCGGGTCGACCGGGGAAGATTCACGCTAAGAATATCAGCGTAAAATTGCAGCTTAATGTTGCTGAGTTTCGTAGGATGAGTATACTGAACTGGAGACCCAAAAGGGTACGCCATGATGCAATCGAACTTAGTCCTATGGGGTGACAACACATAAGCATTTTGATACTTCATCGAGGACAGATGTCTATCAGCAACCACTTTCCATCGGTTGGGCTGTGTGCTAGTTTATCTCTCTTATCTTATAATATATATATATATATATATATATATATATATATATATATTGCTGGGTGCTAAGAATCTCCAGTGGAGGTTCGGTTGCCACCTTAGACGACTCGACCTGGCAACGTACAACGCACGCACCCTGAGGACTGACGAGAGATCGTGGAGCTGGAAGAAGAGATAGACAAGTTGCGCTGGCATATTATAGGATTATCCGAAGTCCGAAGAGAGGGGGAGGACACGGTAATCCTCGAATCCGGCAACTTGCTCTATCACCGGGAGGGCGGCCATCTGTCCCAAGGAGGTGTCGGATTTATCGTCCACAAGTCAAGGGTTGCGTACCTTATACTCAGAATCACCAAACGGTATTCGCTGAAGGTCATACAGGTTTACGCACCAACCTCGGCACACCCCGATGAGGAGGTGGAGGAAATGTATGAGGATATCTCTAGAGTCATGCATTCCTCCATAACCCAATATACGGTGTTAATGGGAGACTTCAATGCAAAACTAGGCACAAGAGAGAACGGTGAGCTGAAAGTAGGGAAATTTGGAATAGGGCAACGGAACCCAAGGGGCCAGCAGCTGGCCGACTTCATGGAGAAAGAGGGACTCTTTATGATGAACTCTTTCTTTCAGAAGCGGCCCCACAGGAAGTGGACCTGGTCGAGCCCCGACGGTTCGACAAAAAATGAGATTGACTTCATTATGACGACCAGACGACAACTGTTCAGTGATGTCTCCGTGATCGCGAGGGTGAAAACTAGTAGCGATCACCGAATGGTTAGAGGCACACTGAACCTAAACGTTAAGTTGGAGAGGTCTCGTCTAATGAAGTCAACCCTCCGTCCCCCTCGTGCTCTAATCCAAAGTCCCGAAACCTTTCAGCTCGAGTTACAAAACCGTTTTCAGTGCCTAGAAGACTGCAATGAAGTGGACGATATGAATGACAAGCTCGTGGGAACTGTCCATGCGGTCGGAGCTAAGTTCTGCAAGACCCGCCGCAGAAGAACACAAAAACTCTCCGATCACACTCTTAATCTCATGGCTGTTAGACGGGAGATGAAGCTACATTCTTCAACAGACTTGACAGCATACAGGCATCTGAACAGACAGATCTCCAAATGCATGCGGCGGGACTTACGCAACTTCAATACAGCTCGTATTGAAGAAGCGATCGAGCGGAACCAAGGCTTCAAAGTCTTCGCCAGAGATCTGTCTGCCAGAAAGAGCCAACTGTCAAAGCTGAAGACAGAATGTGGCAGCATCGTTTCCGGGACACCTGAGATTTTAAGTGAGATTGAGAGGTTCTATGGGCAGTTGTACACGTCATCGTTGGAGCCACACGCAAGTGTGAGTAACGATCCAAGAGCGAGTCTCATCCGACACTATTCCGAAGATATCCCGGACGTCAGTCTGAGCGAGATTAGAATGGCTCTCCAGCACCTTAAAAACGGTAAGACCCCAGGCGAGGATAGAATTACAGCGGAGCTTCTGAAAGCGGGTGGAAAACCGGTACTTGAAGTCCTTCAGAAGCTCTTTAATTCCGTCCTCCATGGTGGCATTACACCGGAAGCGTGGAGCAGAAGTGCGGTGGTCTTGTTCTTCAAGAAAGGTGACAACGCTCTCTTGAAGAACTACAGACCGATTTCCCTTCTGAGCCGCGTCTACGTGCTGTTTTCGAGAGTCATTACGAATCGTCTCGCGCGCAGACTTGATGACTTCCAGCCTCCCGAACAAGCCGGTTTCCGAAAGGGCTTTAGCACCATAGACCACATCGTACATACCCTTCGGCAAATTGTACAGAAGTTAAACCTATCCAATTGCAGTGAGGTGTAAGACAGGGTGATGTTATATCCCCGATACTCTTCACCGCTGCATTGGAAGACGTTTTCAAGCTTCTGGACTGGAAAGGATACGGTATCAACATCAATGGCGAGTACATCACTCACCTTCGATTTGCCGACGATATAGTCCTTATGGCAGAATCGCTGGAGGATCTAAGCACTATGCTCAATGACCTCAATAGTGTTTCCCAACGGATAGGTCTTAAGATGAACATGGACAAAACTAAGATCATGTTTAATGTCTATGTCACACCTATGCCGGTAGTTGTTGGGAACACTAAACTCGAAGTTGTTGATGAGTATGTTTACCTAGGACAAATAGTCCGACTAGGTAAGTCCAACTTCGTCCAAGAGGTCAATCGACGGATTCAACTAGGTTGGGCAGCGTTCGGGAAATTACGGCACATCTTCTCGTCAGGTATACCTCAAACCTTGAAAACGAGACTGTACACCCAGTGCGTGTTGCCAGTGATGACATACGGAACTGAGACGTGGTCCTTCACTGCTGGCCGGATGAGGAAGCTCAAGGTCGCTCAGCGAGCTATGGAGAGGGCTATGCTCGGAGTTTCTCTGCGTGATAAACTTAGGAATGAGGATATCCGCAGTAGAACCAGAGTAACCGACATAGCCCAACGGATTAGTAAGCTGAAGTGGCAATGGGCCGGCCATATAGCTCGAAGAACCGACAACCGATGGGGAAGAAAGGTTCTCGAGTGGCAGCCTCGTACCGGTAGGCGAAGCGTAGGGCGTCCCCCCACGAGATGGAGTGACGACCTGGTAAGACATGCAGGAAGTCGATGGATGCAGGTGGCTCAGGACCGTGCTTTGTGGCATTCTTTGGGGGAGGCCTATGTTCAGCAGTGGACTTGTGAAGGGCTGTAATGATGATGATGATGATGATAGAAAGGCTTTCGTAAGACCCATTCGTAAAGTATCCAATCCTACACTTCCCAATCATTTCCGCCCCATATCAGTTTTATCTTTCCTATCTAAAGTTCTGGAAGCCTGTGTTCATAAGCAAATTTCCAATTTTATATATAAACATAACCTGCTGAGTACTTTTCAGTCCAGGTTTCGTCCTGGTCACAGCACTATAACTGCCTTACTTACGAACACGAAAGTTACAGTTGTGGTGCTCGTTGACTTTTCTAACGCTTTTAACACAGTTTACCATGATATCTTTCTTGTTATCCTTCATTATTATAGGTTTGCACCGTCAGACCTGGAATGGTTCTCATCTTATCTTCGCGGAGGTCAACAGTCTGTCCACGTCGAGCAAATGACTTCACAGTGGGTTGACCTGATTTCTGGCGTATCGCAAGGCGGTATACTTTCTCCTTTAATCTTGTCTATTTTTATTAATTCCATCACATCTAATATTGATTGTTCGTACCATCTGTATGCTGATGACCTACAATTTTATGTACAGTCTAACATTTGTGACATCCATAATGCAATTAACAAATTGAATTCCAATCTCAAGTCAGTCCGTGATTGGTCCATGCGCTTTGGAGTATTTGTCAACCCTACGAAATGCCAAGCGGTGATTATGGGTAGCTCAAGGATGCTTGCAAAACAGATGCCGCTAGCCTACCTCCCGTCTATTATAATGATCGTCTGATACCGTTCTCTTCCTCA